GGGGGGGGGGTCATGACCCCCATGACCCCCCCCTTTGGATCCGCCCTTGTCGATGCATCAAATCATTTTTATATCTATAAATTGATTGATTGCATAGCATCTTTAACAGGAAAAGTTGATCTTAATGGAACATACTAAATACCAATTACAAAGTGCAGCCAGTACATCAAATGTCAGCGGAGTGCGCAAAAAATTCGAGCGGAACGCAAAAAAGTGCACACATTTCATTGCCGGTGCTCAACATGGCCCGATGGACCGACAAAGTCTGACAAAACGAGATAAAAGTTTACACAGCCCCTTTACGGGGTCATAATAATTAATAACGTGCTCGTACGTCACTGGACACGAGACATTAAATCATATAATGTTTATATATGGGACAGAACGCTAATAGGACTACGTGACACCGCTGCACTTCTCTAATGTTGCTTTTTTCTTTCTATTTCGGACGTCCCGTTAATGTTTATGAATATTTATTGCGTTTTAGATGATTTTGTTTTGCCATTCATGCGACGGCATAAATCTCTTTGTGGGCTCAAAATTGGAGTCTATGGCATAAAGCATCSTATGAATTAATGTTTTCGAATTTGCGCAAAGAAAATTGTTAAGCAACATTATTTTTCAATTCGCTTAACATTACTTGTATGTAAATACTTTCCTGACTGTGTTTCAATTCCAAATCAAATTCATTCCTGGGTTTCAGTCATTTATTGTCTCTATTTATYATATMATAWATASGYTWCACATAAAARCTGATGATKKTKSMAMMATACAYCGAAACGTWTTTTGATTAATAAATAGAGACAATAAATGMYTKAARCCYWGRMATGMATTTGATYTGGAATTMCKWGYATRGAATTAGTGTCTATTTCAACGGCAGAAAGCAGGCCAAAAGGGGCAGTTTTAAYATTTTAACGTTACAGAAACACTTTTGAGCATATTGCGGTCTCATTGTCTTGCCGTTCAAGCTTAAATGCCTTGAAACTTGAACATACTCATATTCTCTTAAAAATGCATAATTGCTTGTTTCGAGAAGAAATCGATTCTTGCAGCAATAACATAAAATGCTGGTTAACATTTACTAGTGTCCCAATTGAAACTTTCAACTTAACTTCGATTCACATGGAGGTGAATGAGACGGTCGAATAGATGATGTTATGGTTCTGAGTAATTGGGGGTGAGCAATAAGTAATTTAAAGGCGGAAGACATGTCCCGTTTCGTCAATCGAATGTAGGCTTTATTATTTCAGTATCAATTGCGGCGAAACGACAGGGCGACTGCAAATTGAGAATAGGTAAAACTTTTACTAGGGGTAATTTTTCCCTGCGGCATATATATCTGCTCGTTCCCCAGCGCGCGTTAATAATGTAGTCGTCCAGTCCGGCTTGACTTGATGGTTTCGAGAAAATGAACTTCTCAATTTTTATGTAGCGTCTTTTAATAATTCACCAGTTGGCGGACTGCGCCCGCCTATTTTTCAATGTCCTCTCCCTATCGATTATGTACATGTATGAAATTAATAGTTCGGCAAACTCGCCGGAAAATCGTTCCTTCAACTGACCACGTAACATGACTATACGGGGTGATTTACGTAGACCGTGCGTTAGAACTTTTCAACCACTAAAAGACACCTAACTATCTTATTTTAAACGCAAAAAATTCTTTCCTTTTGGTAGGTGAGCAAAAGAGTATAAAATGCGGAAATTCGGATATTTCAAGAGCCTTAATTAATATTTTTCCAAGATTCCTCTTTACCTGTGCTTCATTTAAAAAAAATCACAACGTTTCAACATTTAGATCTAAAGTTATTTGATTTGAAACGACGAGGTTTTGCCCCACAATTCGAATTTTCACATTGAAATCAGTGTCGTGCCCGAAGAACCTGATCCAAATGAAGGTACCAGTCTTGTAGACTTCTACGATACGAGTGTGGCCACCTGATTTCCGAATTAGAATTATTTATCTGAAATACTTTAGTAGCGTAAAACCGTCCATGTCAGACCAAAATTCGCAAAGTTTCCAAAAATCAGGATTTAGTGTCATTTTATTGCAATTTTGAGCGCGTTTAGACTCGAGTGTTTTCTATCGAATTGACAGTTTTTCAGCTTTTACTGGATTTAGTTAAGAAGTTATCATTTTTCATTTGAAAGACTGCAGTGGCGAAAAACCATGTTCAGACCAAAGTTCACGAAGGTCGCAAAAATCATGATTCAGTGTGATTTTAATGCAATTTGAGAGTATTTCGATTTAGACTCAAGTGTTTTCTATCGATTTTAGAGATTTTCATATTGTACTTGGCTTAGCTAAGAAGTTACAATTTTTTTTCGGAAAGGCCGCAGTGGCGTAAAACCGCCCATGTTCAGACCACAGTAAATGATAGTCGCAAAAATCAGTAGTTCGTGTGATTTTAATGGAAGTTTTCAAGTGTTTGGACTCAAGAGTTTTCTATAGAATTTAGAGATTTTGAGTTCTGACTGCATTTAGTTAAGAAGTTAGAATTTTTTTTCTGAAAGACCGCCATGGGGTAAAATCGACCATGTTTAGACCACAGTAAACGAAGGTCGGAAAAACCAGGATTTTGTGTGATTTTAATGCAATTTTGATAGTGTTTAGTACTGAAGTGTTTTCTATCGAATTTAGGGATTTCGAGTTCAGACTCGATTTAGTGAAGAAGTTAGAATTTTTCATCTGAAAGCCTGCAGTGGCATAAAACCGTCCATGCCCAGATCAAACTTCACAAAGCTCGCAAAAAATCAGGATTTGGTGTGATTCGAATGCAATTTTTCAAGTGTTTAGACTCAAGAGTTGTCTATCGAATTTAGAGATTTTGAGTTCTGACTGCATGTAGTTAAGAAGTTAGAATTTTTTTCTGAAAGACTGCAGTGATGTAAAACCGTCCATGCCCATATCAAACTTCACAAAGCTCGCAAAAATCAGGATTTGGTGTGATTTTAATGCAATTCGAGAGTTTTTCGGTTTAGACCCAAGGGTCGATTTTAGACATTTTCAGATTCTACTTGATTTAGTTAAAAAGTTAGATTTCTTTTTCTGAAAACCGCACTGGCGTAAACTCGACCATGTTCAGACCACAGTAAACGAAGGTCGCAAAAATCAGGATTTGGTGTGATTCGAATGCAATTTTTCAAGTGTTTAGACTCAAGAGTTGTCTATCGAAATTAGAGATTTTGAATTCTGACTGCATTTAGTTAAGAAGTTAGAATTTTTTATCTGAAAACCTGCAGTGGCGTAAATCCGGCCATGGTCAGATCAAACTTCACAAAGCTGGCAAAAATCGGGATTTAGTGTGATTTTTATGCAATTTGAGAGTTTTTCGATTTAGACTCAAGGGTTTTCTATCTATCGAGTTTAGAGATTTTCAGATTCTACTTGATTTAGTTAAAAAGTTAGAATTTTTTTTCTGAAAGACCGC